GGTACGCGCCCACGGTGGCCCGCGGCGCAAGTCACTCCTCTACCACGAACGCCGGCAGTTGGGGAACCTGGCGAATGTAACCTCGGTCCCGATGGGAGCGGCTGTTGGTCAGATTTGGTGATCTTGCAACGCCTTACGCCCGAGTGGGCGATGTCGGAACGCAAGGTGAATCTTTCCACCCTACTGGCCCTGATCTGTCCTTGGTGTTCAACTGATCACCTCGGTGAATCCGCTCGTCCTGACCTGTCGCACCCTGGCGATATGGCTAGGTGAACGCTCAAGCCACGCCGAGCCCACCGCGTGGGAGCTGTCGCTTCGGCGATCTGTCTGCATACTGCATTTCATTGGCAAAGTTGCTTCGATACCCCAGAGGCAGCTGGTGTTCACCCAAACCCCCAGCAGGATCGGATTGCGAGATACAGCGTGGGGGCTGTAAGCATTCACCAAGTCGCTTCACCTCCGGTGCTCAGAGTATTCAGATCACCAATGTGCTTCTGGGCGCCCACATTCAGATTCACCAGATTTTTCACGATCGGGACCTTCCTGCCGGTGCTCCGGTGTTCTTCTACTCCTGCCATAATGGCGCCTCGATGCAAACCACAAAACACGTTCGACTGGCATGGCGGCCATCTGATGCTCTTCACCTTGTGTTGGTTAAGACCTTGGTTAAATTGGAAGCTCTCTGCACTTGACGATACAGGCATTGTCTTGCCCTCTTACAAGTGAGATGATACCCCTATCGACCATCACGCTATCACATACCCCAAGATCCTTCATGGGTTTAGCTGCCCCGACGCGCTCGATACGTCTTCATAAAGCGACAAACCTATGTATGCAGCGATGGTATCGGTCAACCAAGACCAGACGGAGATTGACGATGCACATACCGTCATCACTAGTGCAGGAAGTTGTGAAGTGTACTTCGCGTCCCTCTTGGCCGCCCTCGAACCAGTCCATACACCATTCTAAATCCTCATAGTCTGGCAGACGGACTTGCTCCATGCTTCTCCAACTCCCATCCCTAAGCTCGCGCGTGGTATTGTGCAGAGCATAGCTGTGTCTGTTGATAACGCCGTACAACACCAGCACCTTCAAGTTAGGGAAGCTGGGTGACAGGTGATATAAGTCCACCATGTGCCGTAGTCTACCGCCAGCTTTGATGATCAAGACCTCGGTGGTCTTCAGATCGACGTCAGGCGACTTCTCGATGGCCCTGCATATTGAGCTTACGAGTAGCTCGTGACTTCGAACTGTGTCGACGCTCATGCGCTCCTCTCCCGGCCTTGGCGGGTAACGCGCCTTGAGGATATTACCAGGGAATCGAATCGTGAATGTCCACCGCTGAGACACCTGCTCGGGGTTCTTCTCCGCCCGGGCCTCCTCCTCTGTGGCGGCAAACGTGAGCGTCACTAGCTCGGGCGCGTCGTCGTCAGGAGGGGTGTCGGTCGGCGTCTTTGTTTGGTAGTGTAGGACCACGACTCGGCACGATGGGAATCCGGGCCCCCTCAGGCAATTGACTGTTGCCTCTTCAATGAATCGATCGATAGAATAGAGGAATATGTCGACTCGTGGTAGAATGAGGTCGGCGTGAACTGACGCGGTTTCTGGGATGGCGAGCTTCGGCCGCAGGAACTGCCATTCCTCGAGTTTCCCGCAGAGGAGGAAATAGCGGAGATGGGAAAGAGATACTGGTAATGCCACTGCAGGTGTCCCGCGCGAGGGACCCAATACCATCTGTAGCGCGAGCTCCTCCAGCGATGGACAGCGACTGAGAAGAACAACCAGCTCATCCGCTGGTATGGCGCGGTCCGGTCTCTCCACAGCCAGGTTTAGCCTGCGGAGGGCAACACCCCACAAGACGGTTTGAGGATTGACCGCCACCTGAGTCTGCAGCCCTCGGTGCTCGCAAAACAGCATGGCAGACCAGTCTGGCTGGTTGCTGAGGGCGTAGCGATGCTCCAGGTGGCGCAGGTCGCTATCTGGAAGCGACCCCAGCCATTGCCCGAGGAGTCGCGACGGCTTGGAGACGCCCGAGCATTCACCAGAGAAGGCGACGTCGATACGAGTCGCCTTCTGGAGACGTGGCTTCAGCTTCTCGAGGATACAAGGGCAAAGAAGGTGGTGGGACGTTAAGTCCAAAGAAATGCCTGGTCGCCGGTCTGTGCATTTTAGTGCGTGCGAAGTTGCAGCCGGGATTAAGAGTGCGACTGCCTCCCAGAATTCGGGCAGATCGTACAAGGCATGTCGCCGACGACGATCGATGGCTAGCAAGGAAGCGACCGTAGATGCTGGTGAGAGATCGTTGCTTTTGCTGTACCATTGAGCTTGGCTCGGTACTGGACTGGAAGAAGTCTCGTAGGCGCAAGCATCGGTGTGG